CAATTAGAGAGCGCTTCCAAAAAACAAGTAAACAACAGTGGCGCGTACAGAGGTAAAATGTAGTACATATGTGGAATTTAGGAAACAAATTGGATTTATAATAAATTACATTTAAAATAAATAGTTTATGAGAATAAAGGAATTTTTGTAGCAACAAGGGTGCCAGACCTGAACTGATCCCCTCGTCCCTTCATAATGTATAAAGAAATTATTCCATTTGTAAAACCCTTAAAATCGTACTTCATTGGTTTCCTTGACAGGCAATGATTTATTACTTTGCATCGAATATGATCCTACTATAGTCTGATACAAGTTGTTCTAAAATCAATTAATTTTGAGTATTTTACAGTAATTTCGAACGGACTCATTTTTTTGGTGTCCCACTTCAAATTTTGAGTAGTAGGTACCTATATATCTTTAAAATATGGAAGCACAGTTCATAGTATTACAACATCCAGCTGTGTTTGCAGTTAATCTTCCCAGAGAAGTAGAACAGTTTTGTTTCTGTTAATGCTATTATGTAAATATTAAATAAACAGATATAGTGTATTAATTTCTCACCTAGGCCCCCATAATACGTCTGAAAACAATAAAATTATGACATGGTATAGTATTTCCGATCTCAACTGAAGAACTATGTCGTTGACGATATGTACCAGGTTCGGTCATTGACGCAGCAACTCGGCATTGAAATATTTGAAAAACTTGTTCCCATATTTATTTAGCCATACCCATATACAGGTCTGGTCGAACTACACGTGGAGGTGGTACAAATGTATACGCCCAGTTGAAGAATGCGAGCGCGGGCAAACGAAGTCTAACACAACTGTATTTGGTTACTGGGCAATAAATCTCAGCTTTTAAGTGGTGAACAAATTGCCCAGCAGTGCAGTGCAGCAATGCGCAATTTGGTGCGATTTAGGTAATTTTAATTTTTTATAGGCACCTTCTATTAATCATTTATATTACAATTGCGAAAGGGAGAAATAATATTATTACAACATGGCATTTTGGAGACCTTTTGAAACGGAACAAAACGAAATTGTATCAATATAATAAAATTGTTTGAGGACATAAATAATTAAAATATGTTGTTGTCCAAATGAACATATAATAGAAATTTTCTACACATTATATACAAATTATTAAAAATTTTTACCTTTATCAGAAAATTTTTTAGGGACTCCTATGAAACTCATTAAATTTGATTCCTCGGTTTTTGTTATTCATGTTCAACTGATTTCGGAAAGACTTTAATAAAGTTGCTTGTGGATAAAACTTTAGTCATATTTTGGGGCCTCAAAATGTTTCAAGCCGACCCTGTCCCCCGTGGAAATGGGAACAATCTCGTTATTCCCATTCCATTTAACCAGATGTCCACTCTACTTATTTAGACGTTTATAAATCCAGCAACGGGTCCAATTAAAAAATACAAACACCGCGGAGTTTTGGTAACGCTCGGCCCCAAAAGTTTGACGTCAGAAGTCTATTTTGGAACGGAATCGGGTGTGTTTTGTAAACAATCCTTACCAATTCGGCCAGTTTCAGGAGGCCGGGCCATGACTTCAAGTAGCCGGTGTTGATGATGATGGCCGACGTGGTGGTGGTGGTGGTCGTCCTTGTTACCGTCACAGTGTGCGACATCCTTTTGACTTTCTAGGACCTGTAACATAAGGACAATAATAGACAACTTAGTAGACACCTATCTTTTTCAATATACACCATGTATTACAGGGTGTAACTTTAAGTGGTAACAGTAAGTTCCCCTGAATACTAATCTGAAAAAAGAAATAATAAAAAATTTTACCAATCTGAGTTTGAAATATTCTTTAAAATCATTTCAAGTTTTAAAAAAATATATTTTAAAGAGCTGTTTAAGCATTTAGAAAAGTTGAAATAGGTGCTATCAAAAAGTTATAAAATTCTACACATAACAACAAATTGCTATGTTTTTACTCTTTTTTTTTTCTTATTCAGACATTTCAGCTACTGAATCGGTGCTCGATATTTTAAATGGATCGAAAACAACATACAACACGAACAAATTTAAACCGTGAATGATACGCACGAAATGAAATATACGTTGTGAAGTACAGTCCTGTATGAAAATACCTTTTTGGAGATATCAATCCATTTACACGTGCTTGATTAGTCTGTATTTTAATGTTTATTGAGTAATTAATCAATAACATTGTTATTAACAATGCTTTTCTGTCAGTGTCAGTGTCATAGAGTCTCTAGGAAGCATTTTAGGAAAAACGTTACTCTATTCTTTTTTGTTTATCTTGACGAGAAAAGAATGCTATCAAAATTTGCTGCAACGCACTCTGGGCCGGGAATCTGAAAAAGTGGCCAAAATACTAAAAGTGCTCCAATTGCTATGAAATGTGGTACTCCAAGGTTGTTCCGATTTCGAATCAGTACTCAGAATTAATAAATTCCAAATGGCGGATCCAATATGCCGTACGAAAATGCTGAAGATGCTCTGATTGTGCTGAAATTTGATATTAATAGGTTTTCGGAGTTGCTGATTTCGAATTCGTACTCAAAATTTAGAAATTCAAAGTGACAGATCCAGGTGGCGAACAAAAATGCTAAAAATGCTCCGATTTTGCTGAAATTTGGTACTGAAAGGTATTTTAGGTCACTAATTTGAAATCCGTACTCAAAATTCAGAAATTAAAAATGGCGGATCCAATACGATGATTATAAAATTATAAATTGAGATTTTGACCTTAATTGCGTTTACATATGGAAAATTACAGCATTTGCAAAATATCGCTGAAGTAGATAGATATTATAGTTAAGATCTTGACGCCTTAAATCTTTTATTAGAAGATGCAGTTGCGGAGAACTGGTAAACGGCAATTTGTACAAAACCGAAAAAACAATAAAAATGGTTTCGCAAGAAATGACAATACTCAAGTCAGGTTATTACCTATTTCGAATTCAATATTATACATAAAACATTAACTTCAAAATTCATAAGCCCAATTTTTCAAATGTTCAAAATATGTGCTTTTTATGAGATACATGCATTTTCCACTAAAGTATTCTCAATATCGGAACGCCGATTTAGACACTTATTTAGGACACCCTAAAATATTTTTCAGAATTTTTTCAGATTTTTTCGCAGCTTAGTTTTATATTACAAATTAATAGATATTAAGTACTACAAATTATTAGAAAAAAAAAACAAGAAACATCGTTTTTTTCTGCTGTAAATCCAAATAAGTAGTTGAAATATTTCTTATAATAATAGTGCCCCGAGGGTTTTTTTTATTCGTAATCAGCGACCTGAAAAACCCCCCAATACTGATTTTCATGAAAACTAAAAAATTTTCTGAAGTATTGGTCCGCCATATTGGAACAACCTTTTTGAATTTTACAATTTTGAATTAAGTACTACAAATTATTAGAAAAAAAAAACAAGAAACATCGTTTTTTTCTGCTGTAAATCCAAATAAGTAGTTGAAATATTTCTTATAATAATAGTGCCCCGAGGGTTTTTTTTATTCGTAATCAGCGACCTGAAAAACCCCCCAATACTGATTTTCATGAAAACTAAAAAATTTTCTGAAGTATTGGTCCGCCATATTGGAACAACCTTTTTGAATTTTACAATTTTGACTTCAGCTTCGTAATTAGCGACTCGAAAAAAACCCGGGTACTGATTTTCATGANGGACAAAAGGAGGTCCCACAAAGCGCCTACACCGGCCGCATTTGCGGTCGGGGTAGACGACGGATGGGGCCCACCTACGAAGGCTGTCCAGGCCTACACGAGATGAGGGAGGATAAAGAGGGATAATCCCCCTCGATCCCAAATCATTGAGGCCAATTTCTAGCCATGGAATAATGGCGCGTACTAATGGAAGTACGGAGTGATTCACAAACAGTTACAAAAAATGACACCTCGTATTCTTTAGTGAATTTTAAGGTAGGTCTTTCGTATAAAGTTTCGATCTACGACGGTTTACTGAAATGATAGTGTTAAATTACTATTTTAAATTTTTTATAACATTTTAGAAACTAGTGGGTGAAATAATTTGAAATTAATCACATGGATATATGTAAATATATAGCATAGCTAGGGGGGCAAGAGAACTGCTCCTCAAGTGTTCTTTTACTGTTCTATTTTTTAAATACTCCAAACCTAAAGAACAGGAACACCTCCGAGAGAAACACGTAAGTATATTTAAATAATTTTCAAGTATGTACTTCTTTCTAAATATTATGGGCCGAAGGCCAGAGCCTAATATAAATTATACTCATTAAAAAATAATGAAATAAAATAATAGAATTAAACATATTTAAAAATCCTATCTCCACATAGTGTGGAAACAATTTGAAATTTAAAGCACATCAGTAAAAGGTGGTGAGTGAGGGGGCATGGGAAAACAAACAGAACACTTTAACAGTAAAATGTTCCAGCTTATTGGAACGTAAAAAGCTAATCTGAAGTGTTCCCGAAGTGATTTCAAGTTACATTTTTTGTCAATTGAAAAGCAGCTTATGGCTGGTATGATTTGCGGGTTAATTAAACGCTGGAAATACGAATTTCTTGAATGACTGGGCTGGAAGCGAGTTTTAGCAGACTTCTTTAGTGATCTTGCTTACCAAATGGATTTTTTATCAATTAGAAAGCAGCTAATCTGTTTCGTGGTTCATGATGGAACGGTGTTTTCCTTCTTTGCTTGTCAATCATGTCATTTGTCAAAAATATTATTGATTTAGGTTATGTTATTAATATTGTACAGAATAAACTGTTTACTATAGTTGCTAATAGTCGAAGTACATACAAAAATTATAAAATGAATAAATACATGAGAAATTAAAGTTATAATTATATTTTGTAATGGCAAGTTATGTGATAAATTGATAAACGGTCCTATGTATTTTATATTTATTACTTTTAGGATAAAACAACAAAGTATTTAACAATATCAGTAGCAGCATTTATCTGTTATTGTAACACACTGTGGGGATCATTTGTATTTGATGATAGTGAGGCCATTGTAAAGAACAAAGATGTAATGCCATTCACACCTTTAAGAGAATTGTTTAAAAATGATTTTTGGGGAACAGATATAAGTCTAAACAGTAGCCACAAGTCTTACAGGCCTTTAACGATATTGTCTTATAGGTATGGGTCATATTATGGGCCTCATTTAGAAATATAATTAAACTTATTTTTTGTAGATGGAATGTTCTATATTCAAATAATAAACTTGATTCATTTCAGTTTCATGCCACTAATGTGATATTATATGGATTATTATGTATATTAACTGTTCCTGTTTATGAATTGTTTCTTAGGAAGTCTAAGTATAACAGTGATATGCTTGATACTGCTTACTATGCAAGTCTATTATTTACTGTCCATCCTGTTCACACAGAACCTGTAGCTGGCTTAGTTGGAAGAGCTGATGTACTAAGTTCTGTGTTATTTTTTGTTGTGATATTATTGTATCAAAAATTTAGAACCGCTAAGGGCGAATCAGTTGTTATGTGGTACACCATAAAAGTTATTGTAATAGGTTGTGCTGTATTATGCAAAGAAACGGCAATTTCTGTAGTGGTAAGTTTTTTAGTCTGTTTTCCTTAAATTAATCCAATTTAAATTTTCTAAATTGTATAGAGTATAGTTGCTAAAACAATATTTTTAGGGTCTGCTAATTGTATATGATATATATCAAGAAAAAAAGAAAAAAACGTCATGGTGGGAATTGTTAAATTTCTGGCCTTTTGTTAGGTATATGACAATTCTTTTGCCAGGAATTGTAATTATGTATTATCGTTTTAAGATAATGAATTTTGAAGGTCCTATATTTACCAGTATAGACAATCCAGCAGCGTATTCATCTAGTTTATTTACTAGAGTGAGTTAAATAAAAGAAATGGTTTGATGGTCGTTTATATTATATTCATTTTAGATATTTACATATAACTATCTTTATATTTTAAATTTTCTGTTATTATTGTGGCCAGAATGGTTATGTTTTGATTGGTCCATGGGTTGTGTCCCGTTAATAGAAACCATTAGTGATGCTCGCATAATTTTTGTAATTCTGTTTTGGGGAGTAGGAATATACTCGATGTTTGTTCTACTTAAGAATAATTATGAAAATGAAACTCTGTGAGTATTATTTTTTGTATTTTTGTGGTAGTGTTAAAACTTATTAAGTTTCCTCGGTATGGACCATCTGTTAAATAAAAACTTGCAAATACATATAAGTACCTCAAATTGAGAGGTTTATCTAAATTCAAATATGTCTACTGTATGCATAAATGTGGAAATTTATTATATTAAATATTTTAGAGATGCTCGAATTATGGGAGTTACTTTAATTATTCTGCCATTTTTACCAGCGTCAAATCTTATCTTTACTGTAGGTTTTGTGATAGCTGAACGTACTCTATTATTACCAAGTACTGGGTTTTGTCTTTTGGTTGCAATAGGTTTGAAAAAATTGGAGAGGTGCAGTGAAAGAAAAAACGTAAGTCATATTTTCTTATAATTATCAAATTATAATTCAACATTTTATTCTAGACTTGTATGATGTTATATTATGGATTATTGTTTATATTTGCTATTCGAACGATTCAAAGAAACTTGAATTGGTTAACTGAGGAAAAATTATTTTCATCTGCTTTAGAAGTTTGCCCGTTAAATGCAAAAGTACATTATAATGTGGCAAAGATAGCAGCAGATAAAGACAATAAACTTCTAGCTTTAAATGAATATAATAAAGCTATTGAATTAAATCCAAATTATGAACAGGCTATGAATAATTTAGCCAACTTATTGAGAGAAGAAAAAAAATTTAAAGAAGCAGAGGTCCTTTTAAGGAGAGCATTAAGTATAAGGTAATTAAACAAAAAAATCCTGTACATTTTTCTTGTGGAACAAATAATGTTCACTGTTTGAAATACAGGGCAAAATACATTTTTCTTAGAAATAAAATTTGCAATTAAACAGAATTTTTAAAATATTCATTAGTGTTGTAATTTTGGAGTTCTTAGTGTAGTAGTAATATCTCTTTCAAATACATTTTTTTTTTAATTTTAATGTCCTGTAACATGTAAACCATTGGTTTGTTAAGGCTTTTTAGTCCAGAAAACAGCATCCTGAAGTTGTAAAAGATTTTAAAAAATACTCAGTAAATAATTATTTAATATTTCTCCATAGGTGAAAGTGGCTTCAATAATTTGAAATCTTGGATAAAATTGAAAAAATAAAAAGTTTGAATGACATTTTTGTAGTTTTGTTACTAAAAGATAATCATAATGTTAATCAAAGGCTGTTTTATTGTAATTTTAGAAAATTTCATCTTTTTTTAGGCCAAACTTTGCTGCAGCTTGGATGAATCTAGGTATAGTTTTAACAAACTTAAATGAATCGGAGGAAGCAGAACACTGTTACAAGATGGCCATAATGCACCGAAATAAATATCCTGATTGTTATTACAACTTAGGAAACTTGGTACATTATTTCAAGTCTTTATTTTGAAAAATATTGTATCATGAATTTTTTTTAGTACTTGGATTTAAAAAGGCATGAGGAAGCTTTAAAGGCATGGGAGATGGCAGTGTTGTATCGCCCAACACATGTAGCAGCATGGAGCAACACATTAGTTTTATTGGACAGTATGAAGAAATATGACGATGTCCTTGAATTGGGTAGAACTGCTCTTATGCATAACCCTAAATCACCGGCATTACATTTCAGCTTGGCAAATACTCTGGGGAAGTTGCAACAGTTTGAAAAGGCAGAAGGCCATTTTCTAGAAGCTATTAATTTCAGTCCCCAAAATGCACTTTACTACTCAAATTTAGGTGAGTCTGTTTTAATGATTGCAATTTTGATATTTTCAATATTCAATTAAAAAAAACTAAAACTGTTAGAAATAAGTAACTTCAATATGAGGTATGCTTTGTGATATAGAATTATGGACCACGCTGTATTATAAAGTGTTCCTAAAATATGGGGCTAAACTGAAACAGGAAATAGGAAATATCAATTTAATCTAAAAAATTTCCTATGAATGGGTTTAAAATTGCTCAGTAAAACACGATAAAAGGGCATTGTCAAAAATACAATTTTTAAAATAACTCCAAAATGGGTGATCAGATCCAAACGAAAGTCAGTAGAAATCATATGGACTTGTTTTAACCTCTAATAATAGCTTATTAGTAAAGTGGGATAAATAGGAGGATAAAAGAGGGTTTATGTTTTTTGAAAAGTAATTATGTAATCTGATCAGTCATCTCTATTAAAGTCAGATTGGTTTAGGATTTATTAAGAAATTAACCATTTTGTGATGGGAAACCACCAGTGGCAAGAAATTTCCGTTCTCACCTAATGGGAGTGGATGGTTTAAGACAGGAATCAGAGATTCATAGCGGAATGTTATTGAAATATTTATATTTACCTGCATCAACATTAGATATCTATTGACTCCTCCTCCTAAAACTACCTAATTTAAAAATATTTTGGTTTTGTTGGTACCGTTTGAGATATGTGTGTGGGCTGGTATATCATGTACTTTTTACCTCTTTTTTTACTAACACAAAAAATTTAAAAACAATTATCTTTTATACATAGTTTAGAGCTTCAAAACGGTGGCAAGCAATGAATGAAAATGAAATATTTTCTTATTTTTATTTTATTCTCTTGAACTACTTTCAAAATGTCTGATAGTTCAGGACCATCAGTTGTATGTGATAATCAGATATTTGCTGTGCGATAAACATACGCTAATGAATTGGCTTACTAGAACAGCATTACGTATTGTCAATATGAAGCAAAGCATCTACTATCGACGTACAATGAGTGTATTGCCTTGATGCCTTGTGTGTATGAAATTATACTAAAAGTACACTCTTTAGTCATAAGACTTGACTACTGACCCATGTTCACATAAAACTTTTTGTTTAAAATGAGATTTGCTATCTCCTGTTTCATTTTGGTACAATGTTTTAGAAACACTATGTACAATTCATTCATACGAATATGCAATCTAAAATAATTTAAAGGGAGAATGTAAATAAAGTACATGTAAGATTACAGCCAGATAATGTTTTCTAAGAGAGTAAAGTTCCTTTAATTAAAGTTTTTTTTATTTTTATCTATAATATCTAAAACCGTAGCTACAATTTTTGCTTGGGGTGATAAAAAAATTTGGACACGTTTTGATTTGATTCTAAGAAAAGGTTACACAGTCATCAACTTATCGATATGACAAAGAATATTAGATCTTTTTCCGGGGTGAGCCATGCACACCCCTGCTCCCCCCCTAGCTACACCCATGGAAACCATTCAAGATACATGAATAAATTTTGATAATCAAATAAGTTATTTTTGTAAAACAACAAACAACGAAACTGTAACTTAAAATGGTATATCAAAGAATATGTTTTGCAATTTTTGAAGAAAATTACTTTCATAATTTCCATGATTTAAACCTATTTTATATTTTCCAATTTTTCACTCAATAAATTATATAAGAAACTCATAAACCATTATATTTATGGTACTATTTTACATGTTACAATAAACTGATGAATTTATCGGTGAAACGTGAAGCTAACAACTTAATAAAAATCAATCAAAGTAAATGTAGTAATACTTTAATCTGAATAATTAAATATAAATTCTACATAATACTCGAGTTATGGTAGGACGCTATTAAAAAACTTACTTCAAAAACTAAATTCTGTATAGAAAAATGTAAATGAATGAAATGTAATGAAAAAAGAAATTATACGAATTAAGTACAACATATTTTGTAACTTTTAAAATCAGTTGATTTTTTAAGAACATTAAAAAAGACACTTATAATTTTTTTTAAGTGCTTTAATCCAAAGTTTATTCAATAAGTTTTATTATTTCACATATTTATTTCAAAGTTAATATGGGTTCTTTTTGATATTTCGGTAATAATTAAAGTCTGTCCAGATTAAAGAGGTTACAAAATCTCTAGCCAGTTATTTACGATTTGTAAATACATTTTAATCATAGACAAAGTTGCTTATTAAGATAAGAAAGATATTTATTTAATTCAAATCAATGTATGAATGTAAAAAATATATTAAAATCCTTACAGACTCTATTTGTACTATTTGTTTTAAATATAAATCTACGATTTAAAATGTATATAACATTTTGGAAAATAACAGATAACCAAATTTTTTTTAATGTACCTAACATTGGTACTACAGAATAAAATTTAAAAGTCACTAAATATTTCCAGAATTGGCTAATAAATTAGATCTGGTTATTGTCTTCAATGTCTTGTCAAGTTTTGAGAATAGGAAATTTCATAAAATTTTTCCATCTTTCCATTAGATGCAGTAATGTCAATTGTCAATTTCTTAGGTGAAACATTGGCAAATGTAAAATAGGCAGTGGTGGTTGATGAAAGTGGTCAGATTATGATAATGCGTTGGATTTATACAATTTTTTAGGGGATGACTTCTAGATATACTAAGAGAACTTTCATAATGAAAAAATTTTAGAAGAAATTTGTGGAAAAAATAAATTAGAGGTTGTTAACCTCAGATCTTGAAAAGGGTTACATATTTTTGTAAAATATTTTTTTATAATCAGTTGAAACATTAACATTTTTGGTTTGAAAAATTTAATGTATCAAATTAAAATTTAAATAAATAAAAAAAAATGCTTGCTCGTATCTGTCAATTATGAAAAAAAATATTTTGATCAAATATTTGCGACCTACCCTTCTCATCCTTCCCCTTTTCAAGATCTCAGGATCGGCAATCCCTATTTAAATATTTTTTTTGTAAATTGTGCATAGAAGTCATCCCCAAAAAATCGGTAGGGGTCCCATGTTTAATTATTAAAATATAACCACAGTTTTCACTGATCACTACTGAAAACACGCTTAATATCCATTGAACTATAAAACTGAAATAACTAGAAAATACTTTTGTTTAATTTCTTAATCATTTTCATTTTAGGTGTACTATACCATCGATGGGGTAAAAATGATAAAGCCAAAGAAATGTACAGAAAGGCTCTCCAAATCGATCCAGATATGAAATCTACTGAACTGAATCTCAAAAGACTTTCAATTGCTCAATAACCCCTTTTCAAAATTAAAAGAAGGCAATAAAACATTTTTAATTTATTTATTTATTGTGATTCTATACAAATATATTTATTGACAATTTTGTGGTCATTTCTTTTACAATGACTAGGTGCGAATAACTTGAGTTGCATAACTAGTTTTTTTAATGTAGCTATTAATTTCATAATACTCAAGTGTTAATATTCACGGTTCACTTATGATCATTTTGATACGCAAGATATTTTCAAAATGGTGATAATTTCGTAATTAATAAGTATTAAAAAATGAAACTGAACCATTATTTTTATTTAACGATTCCAAAATGTCAAACCGATAAGGTAAGTATTTTCAATAATCATAAATGACCTCTAAACATATATTAAACAATTAAATCTCACTAAAAACAATAATAAATTATCACACAAGGTGTACATAAATAAAATTCAATAAATAATAAATTAATATCACAATTATCGATGTTGCTAGTAAAACAATACAATTTAGGCCTGTTCTACGTTTTAACAGAAAAACTTAAAATAAATTCAAGATCTCTTCAGATCTATTGTCAAATGTCAAAAGCTTTATAAAAAAATATTTTTGCTTATTGACATAAGTAATTGAATTCCATTAAATCACTGATTTATTTGAATATAGTTTCTTATTTGGACATGCAATGTAACTCAAATCAAAATTCCCTGATTTGAAGTTCTAGAATTATAAATAATGGACTGGGGAATAAGTAATCTCCGTTTTTTTCAAATTTAAAAATTCACATGAAAATTAAACGCATTGTTAAATTGACATGTTATTCGGAAGAGGAATTATTGCTCTATAAAGATTGTGTTTTTGGTTGTTTCATTAGATTTATTGTCCAGACGGTATCTGTTTCAAAAAGCCATAGTTGGGTGAATCGTATATCCACGGAGATTTTTGGCTGTTTAGCTTTCAAATATCACTAGAAATGAAAATTTTTCTATGCGCATAAAAAAAAACGTGGGCTTAACTTTTGGTGGCACAATATGTTAAAAAAATTAGAAAAATGTCATATTTTTCTTCCTATTTAATTATGTATCTTTTCAAGAGTTGGTTTTAGGCGAAAATGCAAGAGGAAAAAAATGTTTGTAATTAAATCTTTTACAAAATGTGACTAGTTACAAATTGAATGAATCATGATTATTATGGCAAAAATCGCAAAAATGGGGTTAAAAACCAATACTTTTTAGGGAATTTTTTTGGGGTATTTAAATTGGGTATAGGACCTTTATACTTGGCTCAAGAAAACTTCATGTTATGTAGAATCTTCACACCAAATTTCATCAAGATCGGTTCGATAGATTTTTCATAATTTTGCAATCCAAATTTTGAAAAAAAATTTGCAAATTTTCAAAATTTTGCACAGCAAAAACCGAGGCCCTTAGATACTTGAAAATTTAATCACAAATAAAAGGGCTTTCAAGCTTTCAAACTTTTTTTTGAAAAATTCGAATCCGTCAATTAGGAGAGCTCTGGCGCTTGTTTGTCGAATTTTTGTACTTATAAACAATTAGAATAACTGTGAATATTCAATCAAATCAGATTTTTTAAAGCAAATTTTAAAAGTTCTTGGAAATACCCTTCGAGGTCGTATTTTTCGAATACGAAATAATATATTGAAATGAAAGAAAGATTCCTTTTTTAATATTATTTTTTTTTGTGATTAAAGTATAATTAAAATATTATTTATTGTTTAAAATATAAGCAAATGAGAAATTAACTCATTATATTACTAATTTTCGTCATATTTTGAAAATAATTGTTGTTTAAACAATTTCAGAATATTTAAATAAATTTGTTTTTGATCTTTAATAAACAGGATATAAGTTTATGCACTTACCTTTGATACAATAGAAAAATAAAGTTGAAAAGTAAAGGAAGTTTAAAGATAAATAATTATCGGACTGTTGAAAGACCAATAATTATTAACAATAGGCATTTGAAAATACGGTAAAATTAAAAAAAAATTATCAAAATCGGACCTCTAGAAGGCGAGATATTAAAAATGTTTAAACACATCGCGGTTTTTAACTTGCCGATTCAATTTGGAGAAGGCCGAAGCGGCCGCGCTCTCTGCTTCCCCCACCACCACTACCACCCGTACGATTTTCTTGAATTTCTCGCTTGCATAAATAACTTTAAACACGTTTTAAAGTAGGTTGCCAATGAAGAAAAGTATTGTAATCTTAGACCTGGTAAATACTCGGAATACCAAAGGTATTTTTCGAAAAATTTGCCCGGATGTCCCAGTACATTTAGTGTAAAAATGACGGTCAGCTATAACTACGTAACTAATTGATCAATCGATCTGTTTTTTTTTTAAAGAGGCGTCTTTCCAAGAACTTTTAAAACTTGGTTTAAAAAATTTGATTTGATTGAATATTCACAAAGTTATTCTAATTGTTTATAAGTACAAAAATTTGACCAATGTTTAAACAAGCGCCAGAGCTCTCCTAATTGACGGATTCGAATTTTTCAAAAAGCGTTTGAAAACGTGAGAGCCCTTCTATACGTGATTAAATTTTCAAGTATCTAAGGGACTTGGTTTTTGCTGTGCAAAATTTTGAAAATTTGCAATTTTTTTTCAAAATCTGGATTGCAAAATTATAATGCAAAATTTATCGAACCGATTTTGATGAAATTTGGTGTGAAGATTCTACATAACATGAAGTTTTCTTGAGCCAAGTATAAAGGTCCTTTACCTAATTTAAATACCCCAAAAAATTCCCTAAAAAGTATTGCTTTTTAACCCCATTTTTGCGATTTTTTCGATTTTTACCATAATCATGATTTATTCGATTTGAAACTAATCACATTATGTAAAAAATTTAATTAAAAACTTTTTCCTCTTCCATTTTCGCCTAAAATCAGCTCTTGAAAAGATACATAATTAAATAGGAAGAAATATATTTTTCTAATTTTTTTAACATATTGTGCCGCCAAAAGTTAAGCCCACGTTTTTTTTATGCGCATAAAAAAATTTTCATTTCTAGTTATATTTGAAAGCCAAAAAGCCAAAAATCTCCGTGGATATACGATTCACCCAAACCAAAACAGATACCGCCTAGTCTATTAATTTTTGTGAATTTTCACAAATTGAAATGGAATGTCAAGTTGATAAAATTGATAATTTCTGACATGTGCTTCTTTTTGTTTTTAATCGATATTACATTTTCTTTATTTTATTGTCACTGGTGATGAAAAATGGTGTCTGTACGTGAACTTGAAACAGCGGAGAGTGGTTAAGCCCTAAAAAACAAGCAACTCCGTGAACAAAACCAGAACTTCCTCGAAAGACAATGTTATGCGTCTGGAATTGGAAAGGGATTTTTTATTACAAACTCTTACCAAACAATCAAACTACAGAACTTTCATGTCCAACAACTACAGCGACTCCATTGTGACTATTCAACAAAAAAAACCTGATCGGCGATATAACGCTCTTTTACACCATGACAATGCGTGACCATGTATCGCCAATATAAAATGGCCATTTGGGAGTTGAGTTGGGAAGTTCTGTTCCACCCGCCTTACCCTGCCGATCTAATTTTTACCTCTTCTGCTCTGATATGATGTTTCTTTTAACAATGACAAAGAGTTAAGAGCTTGGTTGGACGAGTTTCTCGAGTCAAAGCATTTCTACAGAACAGACATTGAGAAACTTGTTGAATATTTGGAGGCCATAAATAACAATGGAGTATCCATCACAGATTAGCCTATTGATAATTGTAGAGTTAAAAATAAAATATCTTAAATTTGGAAAAAAAACGGACATTAATTATTCCCCAACCCAATATAATGTGTACATATTGTATAAGAAAATAATTAAAATTAATACTGATATTTTTCGAGTAATGCAGCTATGTACAATAATTTAAAGTTAAGGAATGTCTTTCTATATATATATATTGGGAAACTTCTATAATTATTTTTCCATAGAAATTGTGTTAAATACAAACATAAACTATTGTCTTAGTTTTAGACAAAAAATTACTAAAATATTGTTAACTGTAACAAATATGAAGTACAGTTTATATGAATACTTAAATACAAGTATAACTTCACATGGAGGTATAAAAAAAGACACATTTCTTTAATGAAGTCATCAATTATGTCGTAAATTGACAGATGCACCTGACAAATGGATTAGTTTAAGCAAAATTGATTACAAATAAAGTAATGTGATTATTACGCTTTCACACTGTGGCAAATAGAGTATGCAAGTTTATATTTCAATTATGCACATCAAATAGTAAACACATTTTTTTTTTTTATGAAACTGATAAGATTGTAACCATATTGTAAAAAAAGGAAAAGGAAAAAAACTGTTAAATTACTAGATTTTCTACAAGTTTTCTTAATTTCCAAATGAATATATATTTGTTACCAAAAAATTTACTTGGAATTAAATAAATCTATTAATTTGGAAAATATGCATGATACACATTAATTAAAATATTTTTATTTGTATTTACAAAACACATTTAATTTTATACGACTGATGATAACAAATGTGTCCTTAAAAACACCCATCTTAAAATTTGCATATTTTGTAATTCAATTGGATTTATGCATAATAGTGGAAATACATTTTTGCAGATACTCCAAGTAAACATCTTTACAAACTGTTATAAAACGGCATTCTTGCAAAGTATATAGCCATGGTGAGTATTCTAGGCCATTACATACATGAGATTACACTTCTAAAACATCAAAGATGTATGCAAAACAAAAACTTTTGTACTTCTTTTCCATTACCAATTGAACTAAGTATAAATAAGTTATGAAACTCACATAGTTTTCCAAAATTCTTCAGCTCTTACTAGTTCCCGGTTTGTTACGTTGATCCTCTGCTGGTTTGTCAGCTGTCGAAAGACCTTGCAGTCTTGAGGGCAAATCTGAACTAGTGACTACGGCATGCTCACCTAAAATTTAACAATAATAAGTAATATAATTATGACTCATATCCACAAAGTAAAAGTACTGAGACTATGATGCTGTGGTTTTTGTTTTCAACAAAGTTAGCAACAGCGCATTCAAGGCTAAGCTGTTCGGAACAGAACTCGCACTAATTTGTCTTAGTTGAGAACTGTTGTTGTCGTAGTGTGTTTAAATGAGCGCCGCTATTCCGAATCCTGCCAGCTGCGAGGTGAAGAACGTAATCTGTTTTTTTCTTGCAAAGGGAAAGGCACCATTCCAGATTTTTAACAAAATCAAAACTTTCTGAGGATGGTGTGATGAAGAATCATACTAATGTGTACAAGTGTTGTCGTGAGTATAAAGCTGGTAGAGCGAATATTCAATAATGAAAAAAAGAATGGACCTCCCTCAATCGTGACAGTCAAATGAGATGAACGCAGTGTTTCCACAAATCTCCAGATCTCTTATGTGAGAGGTGGGTACCAAAACAGCTCACGGATCAACACAGTATTATCAATAAGCCAACAAAATCGCATCTTCAAGAGAATTTCTCAAGTACTTCAAACTGGAAGGTGAACAATTCCTCGACTGTATTGTGACTGGCGACAAACATAAGTGGCCCACTACATTCCTGAGACGAAAAAACAATCAATGCAATGGCGACTTTCATCTTCATCAGCGAAGAAATTTAAAACCATTGTTACGGCCCACAAAATCATGAAAACTGTGTTCTGGGACTGTAAAGGGATTCTCCTCATTGACTTTTTGCCACAAGGGGGAAACAATTAATGTTCCGTAGTACTTTGAAACCCTAAAACCACTACGTAGGGCGATACAGAACAAAAGAAGGGGAATGTTAACGAAGGTACCGTGCTTGTTGCACGACAATGCAAATTCCCACACAGCCAATGCCACAAAGCAACTCTTGGATTCAATTGGTTGGAACCACCCCGCTCACAGCCCTGACCTGGCACCTTCTGACTTTCATCTTTTCTCTTCTCTGAAGGTGTTTCTGGGTGGAAAAAGATTTACTGCTGACGATGAGGTGCTGTAAAACAATGGGCCTGAGAGGACAAATTGCTTTGAAATTGAAGCTGACTACGTCGAAAAATAGTGTTTGATGTACCTTTATAAATATGTAAATTATATTATATTATACTGCCGTTTGGATTTAAAAAAAAATTAATACTCTTGCTTTGTGGATATATTAGTAATTAAATGAATGCTGTTAAATTCAAACATGCTGAAAGGGATATTTTTCTTCAGCACTTCTTATCAATCTTTGATGTGGTCAATGTCACACAAATGATTTGTGCCCTAAAGTGTTAGTAAATGATAGGTAAACTTAAAATCTTAATGATTTAAAAACGCGACTATTAGGGGGTCATATGATTTACTGCATTTGTTTACTTAAAAAATCTATGAAATTAACATTGTTCTATAAAATTATTTTTCATATCTGCCATATTTAAATTAAGTCTGTATATTCAGCAGCGACATATTTGGCTACCTAGTAATATACATTTTTCAATATTGTATACACAATCATAAATTAATCTCTTATCTTAGTTCTGTGTTCTGGGCTGCTCATTTAGTATAATTCCATATTTGCATTTGGTGTTTATCTCATTCTCATATTTGTATTATCTACCCAATATTCAGTAGCATATATTATCCTCTTCCTTAATATGACAGGTACTTTAAATTCAGATTTTTAATTTGGTATTTGGTATATATATAACGAATAAACAATGTGCAACTTATTGCAAAGTCTTGCAATAAGTTGCACATTTTTAATTTGGTATTTGGTAATAGTACATATTTTCATGACACTTTCTAAAACTCTTGACAATAACATTACTAACTTTCTTAAATATTTTTGCCATAACTTTCTGTTAAATTAAATAATTTTTTCGAATTCAACGAATATCAAAAGAATTTTAAGTTTACAAAAGATGGCTATTCATATTCTGACTAATGTACCACCTGATACTCATTGTCAGCCTCTATTCAAAAAGTTGAAAATTATGTCCCTACCCTGTCTGTATATACTACAATTATTCTTAATTTGCATCCATATATCCTGAATTTCATACCCATTCAATTAATCACTCTTATAACAGAAGACACGCAAATGATCTGGCTTCTTTACGTTCCAGAATTAAAGAAGCAGAAAACAATAACATACAAATCGTTTCGCAGGTAATAATTTCAGGACTATGAATGTCGATCAATTTAAACTATCTGTGAAATGATAGCTCGAAAATACTTGTTTTTACAGCCTACAAGAGTATGTTGATGGTACATTCATTATTTTGTAACTTATGACTATACAGGGTGTTTTATTTCCAATGTGCCAAACGAACACAGATGATAGAGAAAGTAATTTTGAGCAAAAAAGTTCATATCGACATGTGTCGGAAACCATCCCCTGTGGCGCTACGTCCCTTTCAAGGGGGCTATTAAGACATAATTTTATTAGAATATCTTGAAAATGACGCCCCTGAAAACAATGTGTCAATTTGGTTTAGATAAAGTAATTCCTCATAATAAATGGTACCTCTGTATAAAACTTTATCAGTTTATTTTGAAGCATTTTCGAGATATTGTAATAAAATTGTGGTTTAATGGCCTCCTTTAAAGAGGAGTAGCGCCACAGGGGGGCGTTTTTAGACACATGTCAATATGAACTTTTTTGTTCAAAATTACTTTCTCTTTCATCTGTGTTTGTTTGGCACACCGGAAATGAAACACCCTGTATATGTACATTGTATATAAAATGGTTAATAAACGATTACCATTACAATTCCTACTTAAATTTTCAAATTTCTGCATCCCTGAAGAATTAACTCAAAAATTGATTCCATACCTAACTTTTGTACTTGCGGTCTTTCAAAAAATTACACAGATTAAAAATTGTTCAACAATTTTACAAAAGGTTTACTGTAACAAAAAAAACATGTTATGTTCTGTGACAATATTTAATTTCTTTTTTCATTTAAATCACTGTCAATTATTATTTTGAAATTTCACAATTTTTATAAACTAATGAATGTAATTAAAGATGATTTGACAGACTTCAGTACTTGCAACTCTTTTATTTCACATCAATATACTGCTAAATAAGTTAAATTTTGTTAACCAAAACATTAAATGCATTTTTTCTCAGAAACGGTTGTCAACTTGGAAAGAGTGCATTTTTGTGATTTTTTTTTAATCTATATAAGTTTCAAATAAAAAAATTATGATTAGAGTGTGAATCTTTAGCATATTTTCATATCACAAGGGGTGCAAGGCGTTTAGATAATTATTATTGGGTTGTAAATGCTTTGCTCCTTCATATTAATAATACATATATACTTTTCCCCAGGTCACCAATTCATTCAGATTGAAAATAGTCAAAGCAGACAGGTTAACAGAAAACTAAGAAAACCTTTTTATTTCCGTACTGTTGATAGGACTTACATTTCATGTGGATTATTATTAATTTCTTAATAAATTTTGAGATAGTCTTGCTACATAAGAATAATTGATCAGTTTACATAAATAACTATTTTTTACTAAACATGACAGGCTTTTATTCTAATAATGCAGTAGTAAAAAATAATCGCAACCGAAAAAGATAGGTATAGTAAAATAAAAAAAAACTTTAAGGTTATGCAACTGTATTAATATGAGTTTTCTAAAAATCTCATAGAAACTTGTATATTTTTTAAGAGTAGAATCACTAGTCAATTGTTTGCCCATAGTTCTCGAAAATTCTATATAATTAGGTGGTTATTCATTACAAAGGAAATGTTTTGTATGAATCTTACCTAATATATCCGGCAAAGCATTTCTCCGTCCTGTGCGGCCAGAAGATAAGAATTCTTGAGTATGTGTTGTACTGTCTGGAGTTGGAGGAGCTGTACTCGCAGGATTACTAGGTCCAGCACTCTGTGATGCTTCCATCACCGCTAGCATTTTTAAAACTAAAAAATTGTAAGAAAGTTAAAAGGGGAAATATTTGTGATGTATGTAATGATTCATATTATAAGTAAGCTCCCATAAAATTCACGATATAGAAAAATGGTAATGTTGATATTGAAGTACACATGAAGCTTACATCTCTACTATTCAAAACAGTTCAGCACTCACAAAAACGATCTATAGTTATTATGGTGCATTAATACATTGAAGATGTTTAAAAATGACAAGAATTTAGTACAACTGAAAAATTAAATAGAACAAAACTTAGCTAGTTTTCCAATTTTTTTTTGTATAAAATATTCCGTGAATATATTAAATGAAATTGTTAAAATTAATGTAGATATTGTGTGTTAAAATGTGTATATTATATCATCAAATTATGAAAAGCAGCAGTGCATATCAACCCAATATATCTACCTACCTACTTATATGAAGAAGTTAAGCTAATGTATTAAAAATAAGTTAATTAGTCTAAGTAACTTCTCTAATGATTAAAATTCGCAAAAAAATATTCCTTTTCATATGGTCTTTTTATGTTAAAAGGATGGTGCCCCTCTCTTACACCTTTCCGATCTATTCGGTAATGATTGTTACTTTACTAACTTCTAATCTGAAGCTAATCGCTTATCTTCCATGCTGTTTAGAAAATTTACCATTCCATATCATCCAGTAATTGTAGTGAGCGAACGTTAATAAACTGCAGGCTCAACATGCAATAAGTGCTCAATGTTAATAAATATGCCCAAAACTTCTCTTAAGTAACATGTTATTCTACAAGCTTAAAACACTTTTATTTATATTAGAGCACATTTTGCATGCTTCCTACCTGTTTTTCTTGATAGATTCTTTTTTCGTTTACTTATAACATGATTTATTTTAGGGCTGAACCCAACACTTTTTTTGTGAGACATATTATTTATACAGCACAGTAATGGTCACCTACCATGTGAATGCCGGAAACACACGTCAGTGCGAAAATAACTTAGAATACGAAATTTATTAAATCGTGTATCTGACTAATCAATTTCTAATTTATATAAAATTGTCTGACACAAACCGCATGAATATCTGCCATTATTTGAAGAAATTTTCTACAGTAGTTAGTTATAATCCAATAAATAATTTGGTAACACTGTTAAAATCTAGCGTCATCTATAATATGACAATCCAACCAAAATATTTCTAAAATCGATTTTTCATAAGATAGAATAACGAATAACCAAAAGCACTGGGTATATATATTCCTTGACTATATACACTCTCAAAGGTATATTGTAAAACCTAAAGGTCTCAAACAGTGTAACTGAATTATAGAAAACAGTTTCCTAATTAAAATTAATCTATATTTTTGCGTGGAAAGAAATATAATTAAATACGGGGAGTTAAATATTTATGATATTTGGAAAAGTATATTTTTGAATCCATGAAATTTCGCGCTAGATGGTATCTATGTAGGTGAGCTGCCCGATCCTGATTTGACGATGATGATGTGTCGTGGTGTGGAGTAAATGCATCAAAGAAGTCGTGGTTCTTACAGTTATATTGTGATCAAAAATGTATAAAATTATATTAACAATCCTTTGTTTAACTTACGTAACGGCTTTAGAAAGAGTTAACAATCAGCTCGTTATTAAAAATGTAGAGAGATCCATTGATTTAACTTCACAGTTAGTTAAAATTGCGGCAACCATAACCCTGGAAAATACCGGCAAAGACACTGTACGCAATTTTCTAATTGTTCAAGAACCAAATATTGTAGGAGCCGTTGCATATTTAAGTGCGAAAGATTCATTAAAAGACGATCTAAAGATTATACCTGTAGGAGTGGAAAATGAAAGTGGTAAATCATTTCGTAATGTTTTATTGAAGCAGCCATTAGACTCAGGCCGAACAACTACAGTGGTACTAGAGGAAGTGTTAACTCAAAGTTTGGTGCCATATCCAAGCAGTATTAGCCAAAAGGAGAAGCAGCTTGTTCGTTACTTTGGTAATCATTACTTTTACACACCTTATGTTACTACAAAACAGAAAACCGAAATCTCCCTTAGTTCAAGAACTGTGGAGAATTACACTAAACTGAAACCAGTTGCTCAGTCAGATTCTTCTTTAACGTATGGTCCTTATACTAATATAGCTCCATTTACTGAAGATCAAATGATTATTCATTTTGAAAATAATGCTCCATTTCTGACTGTAACGAGATTGGAACGTTTAATTGAGATATCGCATTGGGGAAATATTGCCATCGAAGAAAACATTGAAATTCGCCACACAGGAGCTAAATTGAAGGGACCGTTTTCTAGATATGACTATCAAAGAGATACTGGCAGTAATCACCATAGTATTAAGTCTTACCGCACTATTTTACCTGCATCTGCCCATAGCATTTATTATAGAGATAGTAATGGTAATATCTCAACTTCTACAGTTAGACCAAGAAAAGACTGGATTGAGTTAGAATTAAGACCAAGATTTCCTCTCTTCGGCGGTTGGAAAAGCTCATATACTTTGGGCTACAGTGTTCCAAGTTATCAGTACTTGTTTAAGCAGCCTAGTGGAGAGTATGTACTGATTATGAGATTAATTGATCATGTTTTTGACGACATGTTTGTGGAAGAATTAGAATCTTCAATTGTTTTGCCTGTTGGTGTATCGAATGTTAAAATAAATGCACCGTACGAAGTAGAAAGACTCTCTGATGGCGTTACATACAAATACTTCGATAATATTGGAAGAACAGTCATAAGATTGAGAAAAACAAATTTGGTCGAGCAACATATTCAAGACATTGAAGTTATCTATAACTGGACGCCTCACCTGCTACTTCATGAACCCGTTTTATTGTCAATTGCCTTATTTTTATTGTTTATTGTTGTTATCATTTATGTAAGACTGGATTTCTCGCTTACTAAACCAGAACATAGTAAGAAAGACTAATTTAACTTTTTTCATAGTCTCATTCCATTGTTCATTTTATTTGTTTTTTAAATAAAATCCTTGGTAATTAATTCCTTGTTGTTATTATATGTACCTATGTGTGACCCACTAAGAATCAGAGCACCTTTTTAAAATTTTTTTGAGACCATTAAAATAATTTTCCTTTGATAGACCTTTTGATTTACTGGTATAGTGTCGCTTATAAAACCTGTAGTATTTACCGAACTTATTTATTTTTTATAATCAATATGTTTTAGAAGAATAAAAAAGTATATTTACTTTAAAGTGAGTTGAAATAATTGGATAACTAACTATATTTGTTGTATTAAAAGTAAAATTGTAATACAGAACATACTTAATTAAATTAAATTGTATATTAACACTTCTGTGAAATCAGAATCAACATATGGTGAAGCAACTATTAACTTTGATACATTACATAACAAAATCAATTAAATCATTAATTTTCCTGTCAATTAAAATACACTGATTTAAAAAACAAATCAAAATTGTATTTACGATATTTGCCAAATAAATAACATTTTATTAAATATATTATTTGAACACGAGGGAGAAATTGCTAGTCAAAATTTGTACATTAAAATACTCTTTTTCATAATTACTCGAGTACAAGTATTATCTAGAAATAAAAGAAAAGCACTAGAGTGTGAGGGGTTTTAGATGCATAAGTGCATTTTGTATGTTTGACATAAGTAATTGTTTTAATACTTATGTATTACTCAAATTACTCTTGCAGTGTCTCCCTCTGAACATTTCTGCAAAATTATGATGGCATTTGGATGGACTCTAATGACCTTTAATGATAAAGAAGGTGTGGCCATTAAAACCATCAAACCTTATGCGTTTGATCCTAAAAGTCGATGTTTTCAAATATAACATAATGTATACCGAGTTTCAATATGTATCAAAAAAATAATAAATATAGATATTCCATACATGAATAAAGTTTTAGTTGTTTTTTGGTTTAATATAATTGATAATTAATTAGTAGAAAAGTTACTATTTCTTTGACAATTTAAACCATTTTGTATCTGCAATAATAGGCGGTTGGCAATGGTGACGCTTATTTTGGAACACCTTGTATATTTTTGTATGTATTCAGTTAGTTGGATTAATTACTAATTAAAAATAATTACATATCTGGGATTTAGACTTTAGTTTGACCTTATAATGTTAATGATAACTTATTGCATATAGAGATTAAATTTAACTAACTTCTCTCAACAGTAATTTACATGACATTCTACTATTATCTTTTTGTCTTTTTATCTAGAAAAAATTGGCAGACCAAAAATTTTAATAAATAAGACCATTATTCTCATGGACGTAGATAGGATTTTTGCTAGGGGTAGACCCAGAGCTGCAAGTTTTATGGAGGCCTCTAAAAAAAACACCGCACGCACTTCAAAACCTAAAAATTTTTTTCAAAACCTAAACACAATAATGGGGGTCTGTCCCCATGATCATTTTCTACAAATGTTTGCAAAAAGTTTCACTGAGACGTTTCAATGTTGCGGTTTCAAGAAACCATTGCAATTTTCTTTTTACTTATGGTGTCTCAGATTTTTTTGTTGAAAAGTTAAAAAAATAAGCAAATTATGGTTTCCTAGAACTGCAATGTTGAAAAATCTGAGTCTTCAATGCAATTCTTTGCAAAAAATGTTTTTATAGAATTAAAATAAAAAGTCTTCTTTTTTTCAAAATATCTCGAAAGTCGACCAGCTAGAGCCGGTTTCCATGCGCTTCAATTGTTTTTTTTTTATATATTTCTTGTGTGTGTTTTGTAAAATAAATACGTAAACTAAATGTTTAATATCCAAATGTTTCTATTCATCAAAAATTGTATTGCACAGTAAAAATTATCAATTTATAAGAATTAAATCCTCATATGGTGCATCTGGTGGTCACGTTTAGGAACTCTCATATTTTCCGCATTTACCATTTCCCTTTTTCTTTTAATAGCATGTTTAAACGTCAAAACCAATTTTCGATTTTTTTTCCTTGCGATTTGCTCCATTATGATATTTCCACATAAAATTCCTCTGGGGGCATTTTGCATACCGTGCACTGTGAATTTCGAAGGGTACTGCATTAATTTTGTTACAAAACTATTTGTCGTTTCATCTCGTAAATTATCTTTCTCTTTGTAAGGTGTAGAAGTTCGTGGATAGGATTCATATTCTCCATCGTTAGTGAGAAAAGTGATTTCCTCTTCCTTTAATTCTGGTTTGTAGATACTAGGAAATTTATTTCCACACTGGAATAAGAAATTATTAATAGATTTCTCATGTCTTCATTGTTAACTATTAATAATCCGTTATTGTATTATAAATTTTAAATAAAGACTAGATAATAAGGTATATGTTTAAGTTAATACATACCGTAAAAGATATTACTTTCATCTTGCTAATTGTAAAGGCTAAGCAAACATTCTGCGCTATCCAGTATAATTTTGTTGTAGGTAGATAGAGAATATAATATAGACTAAGGAAAATGAGAGAATGCAGATAAAATAGCTTCAAATATTCTGGGGTTGTTCTTAGAATCTATTAATTTCTACCTGCTCATCGAGAGGGTAGCTATGACAAAGTATAAATACACCCTGTTTCTATAACATTCAACTTGAGATATTCTGTATTTTCTGTATGTATTTACAATAAATAATAAAACCCATGGCTTTAACAAATTTTCTTCTTATCAAAGAAATAATTAAAAATATAATTGAATTTTATTATATTTTAGGTATTCAGGATAGGACTTTTTAATGGTTGTCTGAGGTGGAATGTGTTTTCAGTAGATAATCAAAATAGTTGAAACTGCATAACGGCAAAATTAATACCTAATAATCAGAATCGTTAAAACCTACAGAGAATCTCTGGAAAAACGTAAAACATAAAAAATGATGAATAATTAAACAACACGCGTGTCTTTTACTGTGAAAATTGTTTGTAAGCAAATAAAGTAATTGTGTGCGTCTGGAGTGTGAGTCTAGATGAACATGGTGCTCACGCATGAAAAACATCCATGAAAATTGAAAACTGTGATTTGATTGCATACCTTCAGGTACAGCGATTTTCAAATAAGCTTATACCGATACCTGTGAACCGAGCAGAGCTATAGCTATAGTTGAAGCCAGTAGTTTCAAAATATTGTTATCTTATCAATGTGCATGGTAAGTCAGTTAAGGTACTAAAAAAATTGTATTCCATTTGCAAAAAATATTTCTGCTAATCGTGTTTTCTCCTCTCGATTTATTTACTTTTCAAATATTCTCTCCAAGTTAATATGATATAATAGGATTATAGAACGCCTTTTTAATAAGATATATTCTCTTAAAAAAAATTAAAGGTTTCTTTAATAAACACCGAAAGAACATATACACACTCATTAATTAGTTCGATGACAGTTTTGACTATAAATAAATATGATTACCTAAATGTATAATAAATGATTACAAGCCACTAATCACCAGCCGATGAACACAATATTCTGTATATTGTGTTTTAATGTAATCTTGATCTTATCGTTTTAATAATTTTTAATTTTACCGCAATACTAAAAAATTTAGTTTATTAGTTTTGAGAAATAATTTTTGTTAATATGGAGGTAGGTGTACATAAAATTAAAAGCATATTTTGATAAATTTTCGGAATCTCGTCAAATCAAGTAGGGGCCTGGTATTTTTCAAACCATTGAAAATATCGATGTACAAATGGTACAAATACAGTACGTCAGTTGTTCAATGCAAAATCCATTGCAAAATTTGAGTCCATTTGAGTCTAATGCAAAATTTGAGACCAATCTGAAATATGAGACCAATTGAAAATATGAGTCCAATGCAAACTGAGTCCAATGCCAAATTTGAGTCCAATGTAAAATTTGAGTGCAATGCAAAATTTGAGTACAATATAAAATTTGAGTTCAATGCAAAATTGATGCACAATTTGAACAAAATAGTGCAATGTAAAATTTGAATAATGCTATGCAAAATTTGAACAAAATTGTCCAATGCAAAATTTGAATAAAATCTAATCAGTGGATTTGGAGATTTCAAAAGTCAAAAATATTATTTGACATTAAATAGGGTTTTCTATTATACCTACATATATATTTATTTATTTGTATAAAACATTTTTTATCATTTTTCGTATAACGCCAGTAAAAGTTCAGAAACAATGAACAATGTTAGCAGCTCACTGGTAGACTTTAGATAAAATCCAATTATTTTGCTCTAATCAATAAATAAAGGTATGTAATTACGGAAGTTCTGATTATTATTTTTTATGTAAAAAGCACGAATTTATGAAAAACTTTAAATTATATCTATATATTCTGCTGTCATCTAATTGCGGCCAGACAAGACCAATGAACCCACTTGACCAGCATGGCAGTTGGCGGGAAAATTATGACATATAACTCCAATCACTTCAGTCTTGGAATATAACTTATATGGATATCTAAATGCAGTGGCGGTCCGTGGGTTTGAATACAGGGGGGGGGGGGGGCATTTTGAAAAGAGGACGTACATCATAAGAGTTGCGGGGGGTGTGGGGGGCGGTAGCATCCCGCTTAGCGCCGCAGGCGAAATATTTTAAGGGATTTGAAGGTCATTGTGTTTTGCAAGTACCCCAAAATGAATACTGTCAGTGTGTAAAGTAGCTACTTAGATACAATGCGAGAAATAAAATTCCAACGTATGGGGGCTGAAGTGAATAATCGATCAACCAACCCAGTTAGGATATAATTATGTAGATTACTGTAATAGTTCATTCTTTATAGTTTTTGAAGTTCCGTTAAAAACATGGGCATCGCTAAGATGTTTATCTAAAACGGGATCAATTTTTGCACTATAGTCTATCAGTTCTAAAAATACCCCTTTGTTTACCGAGTCACTTTTTTTATTATGTCCACGAAGAGAAAGGTTACATGTACCACATAGTTTTAAGATATTTAAAATTTTTGAAAGAAGCAATCGATTTTTCTTAACTGTTTCGTTATGACTATTTACTATTTATTTGTTCTGCATAAGCACTATTTAAACAAGAAGCAATATTTACTCTTCCTAAAAGTAAAAAACTCACCAACTTATTTTTGTGTTTAGGAGAATTTTCATGTTTCTTAATTTTAATTTCTAAATGTTTCAAGTCAGAAACTCCAGTTTTCGTCCAGTTTTCTTCGCCTCCTCCAAACAATAAACATACAAAACAAAAAAATCTATTTGTTTGGTCACAACCACACAACCACAGGGTCTTATCATAAATGTTTTTATCAAATTTGCGAAAGCCGGCCCACTTTTTGCACTCTTTCTGCACCTCAACTAAATTCAACACTGGCGTTGGACGTCCGTTATTTTTCAATTCGACTTTTTCCTCTAAACTTAAATTACTAATAACAAGTTTTTTTATTTCACAAACCCTCATTTTAAACTTAAACTTATAAAATATAATGTCTTAAAAAGCGCCAAAGCAAAAACAAAACACATATAACCACACTTCAGTGATACGGGTTACTGCCTCATGGAGTCCAAAACAAAGTGCGCGAGACTATCGTCGCCTATCCCCTCCACGTGCCAATTTGTCCAATCATATGTAAAAATATGCTTGCACGATGGACTCAGATTTCACGGTCCGCGATGGAGTGGGGATTGCGCGCGCGGTTAAACATAACTCTTTGGTAGGATCATAGATGGCAGATGGCATTAATCTGATTGTGAGCTACGTTCACGGAGTACATGCACTTTATGCAACCAACCTAACATCCAAGAGATATTGAATGCATGCTATTTATATTTCTTATTGATTTAAATAAATACATTATTTTAAGTTTATAGTTTGAATATATCTGGGGGGGCGGAGTCCGAGCGTCCTCCTTCACGAGCCGCCACTGTCTAAATGAAACAATAACTTAATAAAAAAAATGTAGAAGTATATTTTAATGAAACATTTTGTGTTCAAACCTAAAATCTATACTAAAAACATGGTGCTGTACCTCGAAGAATGCAGGCCCGGTGTGGCTCTTTCAGGGGCAGTCGGGAAAAATCGAAATCGGGACCTATTTGGTTTTGTCTATTACTAGGGTGCATATCGACTCTCCCAAGGAAAACTGTCGTATCTCAAATTTGGTTATACTGAGATAATTGCATTTGAATAGTTGAGAAAATAATAATGTTCGTTATTTATTTTTATTACAAGAGCTAAATCGTTCTTCTTTAACAAAGTAATTATTGTTTAAGTCTTAATTAATTATTGATAATCTAAATAAAATAGTTTAGGATAAGAAAAAAATGGATTTTGAATGAGTTACTACAGTTTTCGTCGACAAAATTTTTTATTGAGAAACAACTTGTTACACTAATAAGGTACAGAAAAATTAAACATTTTCTGTTTTTGGATAAAAAAATATTTGTTAATAATCAATATTGACATAAAAGGAAAATTCGATTCAGTCAGTCATCTTCTTGGTCAATATTACTTTCTTCCTGGTGGTTAGTCTTACTAGCAGGCCGAAGGGAGTTGTAAAATCCATGATACATCGGTGGTATCAAATTAGCCTTACACATACCCAAAAGACCGCTTAATTTTTTACCATCAGCAGCAAACCTTGATACAATTTTGGAAATTGATATTCTTCGCGTTTGCGTGTGTTTTTTGTTTGTAAGCCTAGTTCTTTATGATTTTCTCCAAAATTATACACAAAAAAAAATTATTGGGAGACTCGATCGCAGTGGATTTCTCTGATTTTGCTGATTTTTACAGCCTCTTTAGTAATATATTTTTTCCAGTTTTGTTTCTTTACCATTGGTTTAAAAGTTACAAAATCTTCTTGAGACATTTCTTTTACTTTGTACTGTGGGACAGTAACTTTGGCTATTTTTATTAGACTAATCCATTGATCAGGAATGTATATGGCAGTGACGTTTTTTTGCAACTTTAATCATAGCATGCATGCTGTCATTTTCATTCTGCGTGTGGCCAATTTCAAGAAAAAGATGTGTTATTTCCAAATCCAAAGTCATTGATGCATAAGCAAATATCGCAAAAACAAAACGATTACGGTTTTGACCACCGCAATTGTCGGAATAAAGAATAACCTTTCGTATGGCATTTTCGTTAACACTTTTTAAAAAGATCCATAAAATAGGCATCTTATAGGCACTACACACGGAATCTTTTTTTGGCTTAAAGAAAGCTATATTAAATTTCGAATTCTCTCGTTTTTCCTCCAGGCCCACGGCTTATAGATAAAGGAGTTATTAGTTTAAAGGGCTTACGGTTTGGAATATATATTTATTTCTCTCTTTCTTTCCTGTAGGTACACTGTTTATAGGGGTACAGGGCAAAATAATAAAATTTGTGTTATTTTTATTGACCTGGGAAAATCCCATTTCTACAAAAAATTCAATTTTCATTTTTAAATTCTTCTTTTCTCTTTTCAATTTACGGTGGCTATATCTTCAGAATTTACAAAAAAATTTCTTATACTTTTGGCACCTCGTTAGTCGTTTGGGGGCCTATCTTCCAAAATAAGTCGAGTTTTGCCTACTTTCCGACCTGGCCAGACCGGGCCTGGAAGAATGATCAATGACGCCGTCCATTAATTATTATTATTCAGCTATTATCTGGTTTTATTTGTACACATATATCATGCTTGTCAAGTGTTGAAATATTTAATAAAATATTTGTTGTATTGTTTAAGGTTATTTATTTATGAAATTTTGATTTTTTTGTTAATTTATAATAAAGCTAAACAATAAAAATTTATTATTACCTTCTCTGTTAAATCTGCGCTTACAAATTTGGAAATTTCAAATGCATTTCACTTAAAAGATTAAGAATTAAACATTTTCAGTTAATTAGAGAATTAGCATTACTACTACTAGAATGGATGTAATAAAAGTTACCTACTGCTTAAAAACTCAATTCAATTTCAGTTAGAAGAAGCAGTTAGGTCTAATGAAAATTATGGACTCGGTAGGTGTTACATCAGTTTTTCTTTAATTACCTACATATTTATATTATTTTAATTTGGATATGCCATTATTAATATTAGTAGTTGGCTACTAATAATCGCTTGCCAATAACTATTTGCATTTTTTAGATATATGATCCATGTGAAGATAGTTTCCTAGAAGAACTAGCAGGCAGGTCGTATTTCAAGAGGACATCTACTGTTAAGAGACCCAAAAAGAAGACATCTCAACATCAGTCTATTTGTTATAAAAAATGGTGTAGACGTCTCTCTTACGGGCCTGCAGAAGTTAAAGTTCGTGGTACTAAATTTAGATTTCCCCACAGAGAAATATTGTCAGGCCATTTAATGAGAAATAATTCTCATACAAACAAAAATCGTGTGTTTAAATTTGCCACAATTAAACGATTAGTTAATATTATAATTCACATTTTACCTAATTGTTCGAGAGATTAACATTTTGAGTTAAGTATAGAAAACATTAATTAGGTAGGTATTAATTGTACCAAATAGTTTTATAAATTAGACACTAGATAAATCCTATCCCTATCTGTGTAAAAAATTCAAAATATAGATTTCGATGCAAGTCATATATCTATCACTTAAAGCTTTCCCTGTACTAATTCAAAAAAACGTTATAAATTAAATAAGTTTTCTAAGTAAAAAAATATTAAATACGTTGATCAGGAACGAACTGCAAATTTAAAAATATGTTTAGGTACACAATATTTTGAACAATAAATTTAGGTAAGTAAATGTCGTGGGCATACTAAATTTGTTTCTAATTAATATATTTTTTTTCATCGATTTTTTGAAGATCTTACGGGGATAATAAACGAAACTATTATTTATTACTTAGGTATATTTATATTCATTATACAACCTCTGGAAATAATTTCTATGTGAAAGATAACAACTACAAAAGTTATTTTAATATTTTAATCAACTTTAATATTATCATCACCCTTAATTGAACTAATTCAAATTATAATGGGAATGTTTAGTTTTATTATTATATTTAACCAAACTTCTGGTTCTCTTCAGCAGTGACTTGCAGTGATCGCTCACGACAGATAGCAAAAGTTTTTTCATTGTGTCACTGTGATAGTCTAACCGTTCGTTGGCAGGATTTTTCTCGTTGGAATCTGTGTACGATTCTCCTTCATTTGAGAATAGTATTAAATTTCCAGAAACTATGTCTTTAGGTGGAAATAAAATCCCTCTAACTTTAAAGGCTGGTTTTGCTTTTTCAAGACGATTGCACCATTTTTCATAACCACCCTTCCGCGAATGTTGTATTGTACAACGCCGTCTTTCCAATACAGGGGTTGAAGTTCGCTGGTAACAATTGTCTGTCAATTTTACTTCTTCTAAATGGCTTTGTATATCTTTTATCTAGGAATGAAAAGAAATTATTAAAATATAAATATTAGAGAGGTAATGAAAATACTTACAATCTCTGTTTCTGTAACAGCTGCTAAATCGTATTTATTTTCCATAGTGAGAACACTACCTATTAATATATATATATAGCATGTATAATTGCTTATTGATGAATTAATATTTTTCTTGTATTCACTATTCACTCTAAATACATCCCTATTTACTATAATCTATCTATTACCTACCTACTTTAATCTCTGTTCATCTGAACATTTTAAAATGTTAATTATAATTTAATAAACCTTCTTCAGGGAATTTAAATTATGATTCAATAAAGTAAAAAATAATATTAGAGGTATATATTTAACAAATTTAATTTATTAAGGATCACAGGTAGGTATTAAGACAGATAGGTACTAAATTACAGTATTTAAATATGCTCAACATTTGACGGTTTGATTTCGAATTTTTTTATGCCCCGAAAACAAACAGAAATATCATAAAAACAATTTATACTTTTAGTAATTTAAGAAAAAAACAGCACCTTTTTTACGCATAGGTAAAGTATGAATTTCTCGAACAAATGTATTCATAAGAATTGATTTAATAATATTTTAACACTATACAAGGTATCTCAAAATTAGGTTGCTATATTTTATCAACGTATTCTACGAAATAAAAATGAAAATAAGAAAAAAGTTTATACAAACATGGTGGGCTGTTCTTTTCAAATATCTCCGAAACTCTTTAAGATAAAACAATGGCATTTGGAATAGAATAGAAAATTAATTTATAAATAGACTTCGGGGTTATCGTCGGCTAGTCATAGGCGTGTTCGTAAACAAATAAATAAACAGGTAGGTATAAATAAAAATAAATAAATTTGCATATTTTATCAGTGAAAGGTCGTTTTTTACTGCTTGGTGCACATAATTTATCAATAATATTTATCAATACTTAATATAATTAAAACGTGATAAAATTGTTAATGTAAAAGTAAATTAAAAGCCTAAAGGGCGACATAATACGCTTTCCTATGTACCGATGGTATCGGTCAAAATTGTGTGAAATTTACTTGTGATTTTAAAACTGTACTCAGAAAAACAATTGAATGCCGCATTTTGGAGATACAAGTCAAACTTATAAATTTTATTGACAGAACACCCTGTATATTTTTACATCTATAGATAGAGAGCTTTCTTAACATTATAGTGATATCAGGCTTGACTCTCTATCAGGTCTATCTCCAATAGTAAGAGAGTTATGACTAAAACAGCCTAAAGAGTTTATTGCTAGCTTACTCTTTTGGCCATATATACAGGGTGTTCTGAAAGTCAATCAGGAAACTACGGATTAAAATAATAGCAGTATGCAATGAAACTGTTTTTCGAATTGTCAATTGTTTGCAAGTTACAGCTTGTCAAAGTTCAAATTTTTTATTTTTTCTATTTAAATAATTAATTTAATTTAAGTTGTATTAGTCCGTCATTTGGCACACCCACTAAATGGATTAAGCTCTATTGGACCAGTCAGAGAAAAGTTTCATTATGCACCGCCAGAGGGCACTTTACCTAGAACTCAAAATTTGTCTTGTTCATAACTTTTTTCTCTTGCTAGACATCACAGAAAATTATTGAAGAGAGAAATAATATCAGATAAAATTATGTACTCTTTGTTCAAGCCGATAAATATAACCGTTTACCAGAAAACCGCTATTAATATGTTTATTAAACACATTTTTGATAATTCTTTCTATAACTAATCAAGTTGCCATGCTTCAAATAAATATGTATTACGAATTGTAATAAAAATTGTTTAAAGCAGGCTATGATTTTTCACCATAATAAATTTTTTATCGGCTCTGTAATAACGTTGTGGAAAAATAAGCTGAGGATAATGAATTTACTAATAATATTTTTTTACTAACGAAACTGGTTTTACAAGAGATGGTATTACAGCATGGCATCTTAATTAATTGCAGAAATAATTATCAAAAATGTTATTGTTTAATAACACTTTAATAGCGATTTCCTGCTAAACTGTTATATTTGTCGACTTGAATTAAGAGTACATATTTTTTTCTGATATTATTTTTCTTTTCAATAATGTTAAATTTCTGTGATGTCTAGCAAGAGAAAAAAGTTATGAATAAAATAAATTTTGAGTTCTAGGTAAAGTGCCCTCTAGTGGTGCATAATGAAACTTTTCTCTGACTGGTTCAATAGAGCTTCATCTACTTAGTGGGTGTGCCAAATGAGAGACTAATCGAACTTGAATTAAATAAGTTATTTAAATAGAAAAATAAAAAATTGAACTTTGACAAGATGTAACTTGCAAACAATTGACAATTCGAAAAAAAAAAATTACATACTGTTACTATTTTAATCCGTAGAATTACCTCCCGGAGTTTTCTGACGGACTTTCAGAACACCCATTATTATTAAAGATATATCTAGCAAACCTAATCCTACATATTGTAATCATGAGAAAGGGTCCTTCATTCACTTCACCAAAATAATAGTTTTCTTTGAATTAGTTCAGTATAAACGTTTTTAATATTTTCTTGTCATGGGTTTTTCTTATTGTTAGTTTTATTTTGGTAAATGATACCCTTGTCTAGGTTTTTTAATATTTTTGTTTTTCATCAGTTTTTTTTCTTTATTTCTTTACGCAATAATGGCAGACTGCTGTACCTAACTTATTTTATTATTCCACATTTAATAAATATTCACACAAAATTTCTAAATTCTATACTTCATGATTTTCTATCGATTCAAATGGTTATTTTATTTTATTTTATAATCTGATAAAATAAAATATAGTCTCATAATTTTATTCATATGTATGTTAGTTTACTATTTTTATAATGTAGTTTAAATGTATAGTTATTCAAATATACTTTTTCTGTGAGAATTTTTTTTTTAACAAATTATTAAAGTTAACATACATTTCTTTTGATTTTTATTTAATTTTTTAATAAAATTTCTTTAACGTCTTACATATTTTGAAAGTGAGTTATTGAAAAACTTTGTTAAGATAGAAAAAAGAAGACTTTCGCCTGATGTAAAAGAATATGTATTTATAAAATTGGGAAAATAAATTCGATGACGTCACATCATAGCCCTAAGGGTAGTAAACTTACCAAGATGGAATTTTATGTCAAATACGTAACACAGCAACATGCCATAAAAATCCTCTCTTGCGGTTTCATATTTGCTCTTTCGTTTTCCTGTAATGCCTGTAACTATCAGTTCTGGGTCTCACTTTACATACATGTTTACATGTATGTATACTTTAAGCTCCGATGTAAATTAAAAATATATATTAATATTAAATGTAAATATAGGGAAATATAGATTTATGTAAAAAAACGCAAAAATAATAATATTGATTTTATTTCTCACGAAAACTATAGCTGTATATATTATTTTGAAAATTAATATATCCATTTATAGATTCTTCTACATTGCAGTTACATTTTCGACAACAATTTTTGCAGTTAGGGTTATAAATCTTCTTCCGGAATAATAGGTGGGTTAGTTTATTCAAAAAGGAACTACATTTCCTTTTTGGGGAACGCGTAAATTTTAAAAAACTGTGACTATACGAATTTTTGTATTGATCGTTAGTTAGTTCGTTCTCACTCAAAACATTTTCATCAATTTCATTGAAGTTCAAATCCTCCTGATTCAAATCCTTCGTAGACCAGTTTTCACGTTCTTGAGTATCCATTGCGATCTGTCCAGATATAATACCACTTTCACGTAATTTGGGATCTTGAATTATATCTTTAACAGAACCCTTCTGAATTTTTCCACGCCATACCTCATAACCAATATTTGTAGACAGTTTTTTCTTGGATAACATTTTTGTAGATGTCCTTTTCAAAGTTGCGGTATGATTAACTGGAGGAATAGTGTTATCCTCGAAACTAAATTCCAAAATCTCCATCTGCAATAGTATAACGAATTAGATATCAGTTGTTATTATATAAATCGATTTATTTGTATCTCGGAAATATCGAGTATTAAAAAACAGTAGTATTAAATTTATGAAATTAATTTTATTATTATATAAATTACAATTATTTTGGACTCACCTCATGGCACATTTTCATTTTAAAACATTTTAAAACATAAATAAGGATTATTTTGCTCCACACTAAATTTTTGGTCTGCATCAAACGAGCTGTATCAAAATACTGATTCAATTTCACTGAAACATGTTGTTATTTCACTGTTTCACTAAGATACGATGTTATTGGTTCAGCAATTAAAAGTAATTGTATTAAGGTAGTTTCTAGGAACTTCTGATTAGTTTCCGGAAAAAGATAATCCTTTACATACCTGGATTACTTTTAATGAGCTTGATAATATAATATTAAGGCTTATAAACATACCCATTACTAAATATCTTGGAAATAATTAGAAGGAAAGAAAATGTATTCATGTTTATGAATATAATGTACTTATACCTACCACATTATAAAAATAGGGAGTGCTAAACTACATATTTCTTCATAAGTATTAATAAAATTTATATCTAGGGTACCTCGAATCTTTATACTATTACTAATAATAATAATAATCCGAAAAACCATGGTTTCAGGTACAGACCTTGAAACCCTTAAAATCACTAAAATTAATGTGATTCCAATTCCCGAAGCTGGATAGCTTTACTTGAAATTGCCTTTAAAGTTTATGATGCATTTGTTTTGATGTTATCATTTGTCTGAAAATAGTGTCCTTTCTGCATTGATTTTAATTATAGAAATGAGAAAAAATCGCAAGGAGCCAGGTCTGGCGAGTAAGAAGGGCGAGGGAGGACAGTAATATGATTTTTGGTACAAAACTGAAGAATTGACAAAGCAGAAGCGTACGGGCGCATTGTCTCGCCGCAAGTCTGGTCTCTTTTCGTGGATTTTTTCACGTAGGTAATCGTTGTAAAACGCCTTGGTAGTATACACACTGTTCACTGTTTCACCTTGAGGCAAGAATTCAAAATTCACAATTAAGGAAAAAAAAGCATCGTCATTGGCCTGTTCAGGAAGTTGCCGACAAACGTCCACACGATTTTCCTTCCGTTGTTCGGTCATAAACGAGGAACAAATTTTGCTGCAATTCGATGCATATTTAATTTTTCAATCAAAATTTGGCAAGACCCAATTGAGATGACTGAACCTCTGCAATTTTTCCGACAGTCAATCGGTGATTTGTACGCATCAGATATTTGACTTTCTGAACATGGGAGTCATCAGCGAAGTCGAAGGGTTACTTGGTCGTACTTCAATTGACTGACAACCACTTTTAATTGAGAAATTGTTACATTGCGTATGATCCAGAGCATCATCTGCGTTGTTTCAAAAGAAAAGATTCTTTGAAAGATTTCCTCAGCTTCACGCAAAGTTTTTCATCGTTGTTTCAGAAAATCGCACATTTCAAAAATCGGGAGTAACACCTAAACACGTTGCAGTCAAATAGCAATAATATCCCGAAAACTAAATGAGATATCAATAATCTAGGAACATGTGGTTGCAGAGGGCGCAACGCAATGCTGCCATATTTCACTAAATATCTCAATTAGCGCGTAATTTAAAAAGTTTGGTTATTTTCTGGACAGACCTCGTATAATAAATGTGTAAATAATAAAATAGGTATAATGACATTCTTTCAAACTTTCATTCATTTAAAGAACACCATGTATAGTAATTATACGGCGGTTGCACTTTTTATAAAAAAGTAATCAAGTTTTTTGTGTTTAGTTTTTATGTTTAGTTATTATCATCCAGTGAACTAAAACTCATTGAAAATTTTGGTATTAAAATAATTTTAGTCACTGCATACACGTGTGATAAGTGTTATGTTTTTGTTACATTAAAAATAACTACTGTTTTGCATTTGTTATTCTTTTGTCTCATTGTTTTTTGTATAACCTAGTACCAGTAGCTTTTGTGCGTTGTCGCAGTTTTGATCATTTAATTTACTGACGGTTTTATATAACTGGTGCCACTGGTGCCGTTCAAACAAGAAATTGTTGGAATTAACGGGAACATATAAAATAATTTTATAACAGCACGTATTGAATTAGTGAAGACAAAAAAATAATTTAGTGCTACTCCGCAACAATAGTGTCCTAATGTAATGCCCCTAAACATTATACAAGTGCATGTATACTAATTAATTGAAGTAAACAATTCCAGTCCAAGATTCATATATATATATTGTTATGATCGTATGTGTGTATGGTTTTATATGTTAGCGCCAAATTAAATTTTGTTAGTTTTGATATTAATTTTGATTGGATTGGTGTATTGTGTATTGTCTATCTTTGCCCTATCTAGCTCTAGACTCTATCTCCGTAGTCGGTTCTATGTTCTAGCAAGAAACCACACCAAGCACAGCTACAAAAACAAAAGGTTTAGTAATAAATGTATTTATTAAAAAAATTTTTTATATATGTCAAAATTTGTCACTCTACCCTCTTAAACACACTAGTCAATATATTTTGAAGTATTTTACAATGTTTATAAAGCCTTATACAAGAAGTTATATTGATAATATCATTAACTTAAATTTCATGCAATACTGGTTGCATACCTTAAGACACTGTAGTAATAACTTCTTGTTTAATACTTATTAATTTTCTCTACTATTAATATTTAATTCTACAAAGACTTGGCCAGTTTTAAATAGATATGAAGTGATTAGATAAATTTACTTGATAGTGAATTGGTGATTTACTAAACGTTTTATATTAATTTTTGTTTTCTGTATTATATATCGTATACGATTTTGTTTTATTATAAGAGGTACCTTTTTATACTTATAATCGTTAAAGATGTGTTGATTAACTTCTCTCCTTTACTTTGTTATCTCGATTCTCTCCTATGCCAATGATATGCGGTTTACTTCCTGTTCTCTTGACTCTCCTACTGGTCTATGAACTCTGCTACTGTTGTTCTGCGTTCTTTATCTCTCCCTGGACCTGGTTTGTGGAGGATCCGCTTGTCTCGAATTTCGTAAATACCTTCTTTCTCCAATTGATTATTTTAATTCCTTGTTTTCTCCTATTTGAATATTTTTCCCTTTTCTTGCTTCCTAACTGCTTCTATTTCTCTCTATTTTCTTTTCTTACTTTTAACAACTGTCGTTTTCAAAAATTATTTTTGTAACTAATCAATAAATCCTCTTCTTTTTTTTCTATCTTGATTTTTTTTCTTTTTCTCTAAAGGCCTTTCCACATATCTTTGAACGTGTCCTTTTTCTCTTATAATTCACTTCACTTCACTTTCTCTTATTCACTTATAC